CTGAAAGAAAAATTGGATACAAAAATCAGACTTGCAACTGCATCCACATAGACTCGTTGTAAATAGACCTAAAATGATGTAAAAATTAAAGCATGGTTCTAAATTTTCCATCTTAGGCACTTGCACTCATATCTAAAGATCACAAATATATAATGCGTGTATGAAAATATGTTGCCTCTTTGATGCCACAAACTTCTCTATACAATGCTACCAGCAATGGATTTTCTTCTCAAGCACTAGAGAAGTCTTCTGTATTATTCTCATAATCTTTTCCAACCATCAGCATTTTCATCTAGTACTTGAGAAGTCAACATGAAGATTCTCAAATTTAAAGAAGGAAGATTTAACAAATCACCTAAAAACATACAACAAGAATGCAACATGGATAAAAATATTAAAACTAAAATACATAAAATATAGCAACAATAATGTAGTGCTTATAGATTGCATGTGTCATCAATATGGTAAAGGTTATACCCAAGATATATGCAAAGCTGAAAGAAAAATTGGATACAAAAATCAAACTTGCAGTTGCAACCACATTGGTTTGTTGTATAATAAGCCTATTAAAATGCTGTAAAAATTAAAGCATGGTTGTAAATTTCTTACTTAACTTATGCGCTTGCACTCGTATCCGAAGATCTTAAATGTATGATGCTTGTATGAAAATATGTTGCCTCTTTGATGCCACAAACTGCTCTATGCAACGCTATCAACAATGGATCTTCTTGTCAAGCACTAAAGAAGTTTTCCGTATTACTCTCGTAGTCTTTTCCAACCATCAGCATTTTCATCTTATGACACTAAATTGGGCAAAGGGCACAGTGTTTGCTTCAGGTTTTGGTGGTTTGGGAATCTCAAAGGCATTCCAGAACTTGAGTGTCTCATCTTCTGCGGCAGAAGCTACTACACCTCCCAATGGGCTCCCAGCCAAGTAAAGAACACGAGATGAATGACCAAAAAGCTCAGCTTTTCTCGTCATGGATGTGTAATTCCACAGGGTGAGTTGATTGTTTGGAAACCCATGGGAGGTCAGCAATTCAGATTTGTTCTTGTCCCACAACAACGCACAAACTTCAGAGCCGGTATCAATCGAGTTCAAGCAAACACCATTAACAGCATTCCAAAACTTAATGCAATGATCATTGCGTCCTCCACCAGAAGCCAACAGATTGCTCCTGGTAGGGCACCAATCAAGGGCCCTCACAGTGGAAGTGTGGTTGCTGATCTTGTGAAGCAATTGATGTTGGCGCGGATGGTGATTTGCAACAGCCATGCAGGTGTCCCATATGTGCACAAGTTTGTCCTTCCCTTCGCTTGCCAGATACCGCCCAAACAACTCGGACCATTTAAGACTACAAACTTCTAGTCGATGCCCTCTATAGTCACAGATGGCCCGGTCATCTTTTCTAATGTCATAATCAACAATACTACCATCGGATCTCCTAGACGTCAAGATTGCATTACTTCTCCACGCAAGTGAACAAACAAAGGAGTGGCTGTCACCTTGGATCCCAACCAACACACGTCTTGTTGCTGCATCAACCAGATCTAAATCTGAATTGCCTAATGCCACAGCTAGAACTTTGCCGTCTGGGGACCAGCTGATGCTAGTGACAGGGCTGTTGTCTTCTAGGGCTCGTGAAAACTCCGTACTAGACTTATTCGCAGCATTCCATAGGCACACTTTGTCATTGAGGCCAATCGCCAACACGTTATTGCTTCCCCAGTCGAGTAGATTCAACCTATCATCATCTAAGATATCATAAGCAGCCAAAACCCTATCTGCATCTTTTGGGATTCGCCTCTGTTGCTTCTTGTGCGGTCGATTGTCCTCGTCAAATTGGGACACCTTGTCGGCCGGTGATTCGGGTGCACTCTTGAATGCGAAGATGCGAGATCTGTTCTTAAAAATACATTGAACAAGAAGTTTTTGGTACGCCACACTCGATGGGGATTCTATCGAACCATCACGCTGAGGTCTGGAAGGCATGGTTAGAGCACAGCGTGCGAAGTCCATGTCCATCGCCGATCGGAACGGGATGAAGCGGTCGTACTCCACACGCCTGGAACGAGAAGAAGCCATCTTGCGAATCGAAACCAGAACGAGAAACGCCGAGGTGACGAGAGACGAACAAGAAAACCAGAAAGATCGAACTTCCCAAAAGAAACTTGAAAACCCAGACGATCGATAACGAATTGATCAAAGAGAACCCCGAGAACAACAAATTTTCTGATTTTTGGTCACCGAAATTGTCAATTATATCAATCAAAACGAAGCCAAATCATCAAAATTCAACAATATCTTGAACCCTAAAAAATTTCGAGAGCGAAGCGAAACGAAACCTCAAGCAAAGGTAAAGGAATGAGATCACCATGACAAGAATCTAAATTCTCCCCTAAATCGGAGGAGAGGACGCTCACTCCCAGCCGGCGATCGCTCGAAGCTTTGTCCTTTTGTCGGAGAG